TTATAATAAAATTATTTATGCATTTTGGTGACAAACACTTTGAATTTGAATTTAGATACATCAATGAGAGGCTATTATGGGCTCGTTCTGCCCATGTTGGGCTGGCTGCCCCTGGTGAAGTCGGATCATGGCAGAAGGAAAGTAAGGTAATGTTAATTTTTTTTTTTTTTTAAATAAAAAATAAAAAGAGCAAGGGAATTCTAGTGCGCGTTTAAAACTCGTTCTAAAATAATTTTATTTTTTATATGAAAATAAAAATGAAAATATTTTCAATCTCAGATAGGAATCATTTTTAAAAATGTGTTTGGTAGTTTTATCAAAAGATTGTTTTCATTATAAAAAAAATCCATTAATGTCTCTCTCTCTATGCTCGAGAGAAGAAAAAATGAAAACAAAAAATAAAAAACGATTAAAAGTCATTTTTTATTTATTTCTCATTTTATACTAAATTAAAAAATCATTTTTATTTCCGTTTTTTGTCTTTATTGCGCCAAACGCCGTTTTAAAAACGTTTTTATTTTTTTTTCGAAAAACGTGAAAAATAAAAACGGAATCAATTTTAAACAGGACTTAAAATTTTCTATTCTTGTTAACAAAATTATTATTTCACAAGATTAAGTACTATGATATTATTGTATGACACAATTCAGATGGACTTAAACATATAAGTTTTACAAGTTTAGCTTATATGCGCTTCCACTTCTAATGTTAAGATTTAGAGTTCCATATTTTCCTTCGTTAAAAAAAAATGTTAAAAATAAGCACTTAGTTCATAAATAAATATGCTTTTTTTTTTCAGGGCTATCAATTCTGGACTCAAGCTGACAAAAGGGGTTATTTCTCAATAAAAAATGTTGTACCTGGCAACTACAGTCTGTATGCATGGGTCCCGAGCATAGTTGGTGATTACAAATATACCAAAAATATAATCATTGAACCAGGTAATTTTCCATTTTATTTTTTCACTACCCCAAAAACATTGACCCTTAATTAATCTATAAAATAAATAAATAAATAAATAATAATTCTTCCATCGATTATCTAATGCAGGATCTAAAATCGATTTGGATATGCTCGTTTATGAACCACCAAGAAATGGACCAACATTATGGGAAATTGGTGTCCCAGATCGCACTGCTGCTGAATTCTATATACCTGACCCTTATCCAACTCTCATGAACCAATTATATAGCAATCACCCAGACAAGTAAGTCCACATTTTTGTACTCTCAAAGATTCACTAATTTTTTAGTTTATTAGCTTAGATTCCTTTACTTATTGCAAAAACATTTATTTTTTCTGTTATCAGGTTTAGGCAATATGGATTATGGGACCGTTATGCCGATTTATATCCTAATAAAGATCTAATCTACACTGTTGGCGTCGATAATTACAAAAAAGATTGGTTTTTTGCTCAAGTTAACAGGTATATATTTTGATTTTTCTGCACTTTCTAGTGGTCTTTCTATTCTTATATATGATCAGTAATATAGGTTTCTTTTCCCTTAAAAAAAAAAAAAAAAAAAGAGAGAGAAAAAAAAATAGGTCTCTCTTATCTGAAATAAAAATAAAGAGGTCTCTCTTCTCCATCCTGTACTTCATTATTTAGCTAAACAAGTTTTTTTTTCCTTTTGCTTTTGTTGATTTAGTTTTCCTCATATGGGCATATATATGATTTTTTAACTTCCGTCCTTATATTTGTTAATCATTCTATTATTTGATTAGATAATAAAATTTTCACATTCCGTGGTTTTTATAACTTTCTTGTCGTTGTTTAACCCGATTGTCGTTTTCAAGTCATCTTCATTCATGAATATTAGGACTTCATTCATTTCGTGGATTCGAGTATTCAATTCGAACTGAGATGTGATAATTTTTTAGAGCTTTTAACTGTATCAGAAAAGTTATATGTGATATTTTTTTAGAACTTTAAACTGTAAAAATCTAGAACTGAAGACTCAAATTTGTAAAATAAACGGGGTTTAGGTTAATTTTCAAGGTTTAACCAGTCTTTTCACAATTTTGACACTAAGGGTTTTTTTTTTTTTCTTTTTTGTTATATCTAAAATTTTTCATGGTGTATAAAATTACTTTTTTTTTAATTATTATACTACAGGAATGCAGGAAACGATACATACGAAGCAACCACATGGCAAATTATATTTGAACTTGAAAACGTAACAAGGCCTGGAAATTACACACTCCAACTTGGACTGGCCTCAGCCACAAATATGGAGTTAGAGGTATAATTTACAAAAATTTGCATCTATCTATTTACTACCTCTAATTTGAACTTTTAAGATGATTTAATGCAATTATTAACCATATTTTTGCTATGGTATTGATAAATATTGTTTTTAATTAAAAGGTTCGATTCAACGACCGGAACTCGGAGGCGATTTTCTCAACAGG